TTAGTGTATTATATACATGTACACAGGGAGCCCCATTAAACTTGAGACTCATTACCTTATTGCTAATTTATTCTATGGCTGGGACTTTTAAATTATTTTCTTTATCATTCTATTTTATACTTTAAGGGACTGTAGATTTAATCCTCTATTAAAAAGGGTCATTCATGATTCACAACTTTGAAACTTGCCTTAGCAAAATTGATGAAGATATTCTTGTTTTTCTATCCAAAATTTTATCATTCTTAAAGTGACTGTAAAAGGAACTAAAAAAGGTATTTGTCATATTTCAACTTCCTTATTGTTGCTTTTTTAAAAAGGTTTAAAGTTTACCGCTGTTGTACATGGTTAAGGATTTTTCGGTAAAAATTATCTTGGAGGTTTATAATTTCATACAGAAGGTTTTTTGGCCATTTGATTTACAAATTATTTAAATATTTCACCCATTTACTGCAGATTTGTCGTAACTACTTGTTTTTTCTTTTTGTTAGCATATGATATTTTAATGCAATATGATTAAGAGATCAATCCTTGCTGATCATATACAGTCTGAGCCCGGATGTATTTAGCTCTAGTTAGTCCCCCCCCCCCCCATCTCCACCGTTTATTTTCCAATAATACATGACATATCTAGAATTCGTAAAAAAAAGTAAACCCGGCGTACTCCTCATCTGCTCTGCCGTATTTCTCTAATTCTTCACAGAATCTCTCTAAACCGTGTGTTGCCTTTCAGCGGACGGTTTGAATTTACGATACCGGTCCTTGTTCCGTTTAAGTCACCACACACACTGCTTCATGTTGCGTTAAAGTCACCACACTTCAGTTGTAGACAGGATACACAGCAGGGCGGAGAGCAGTTACAGGGATGATAAACTAATATTAGAACTTTTAAACAGCGTTATTGCGACAGTAAATGTATTTTAAAGTGTCCTATGGTTTGTCCTATCTACATTGGTTCCTCTTAAACAATCTTTGATTGAGTAAAATTAATGGAGTTATCCCTTTTCTCTCTATCTTCAGTTTAATTTTTTCAAAAGTTTTTCTCTTTATGAGAGACCTCCCCATATTTGGTTAAGGAGAAAAGGTGGATATTGTCAGAATTAATGACTTATCCAGAAAGGCATTTTCCACATTATTAATCAGAACAAAGTTGTAATGTTACCGTTGTGAATCGGACATGCATTCAATAAATGAAGGATCACTTGAAATTACGACTACAGTTCAAACAAATTTTCAAAATAATTTTTAAGAATAAAAAAGAAATTCGCGTTAGAAGATGCATTTAACTCAACATGGATTAGACATTATTGTCATAATTGTAATTTTTCAAGCAATTTTTATTCTTAGAACAAAACTCATGGTTTGTGCAAATCATTTAGGAAAAATGTACTTCCAATAAAAACTAGATCCTTGATATAATGAAAACATCGAACCTTGTAGCATCATTCTAATTCAACAAATAAATTCGAGATGAAGATGAAAATGGAAAATGGAATGTGATTGCTTCTCACATTTCTCAGCTTTAGGCAGCACGATAGGCTGTGTGGTGGGAGGGAGTAGGAGGGGGGGGGATAATCAAAGAGCAGTGATTATTGGTCAGTCATAGAAGGTTATAAGAGCATAGTGATAAAATTATAAAGATGCAAATAGGCATAACACGTTAATCTGAATTAAATTGCACGTTCATCTAAAAGACTAAATCTTATTTGTTTACAATCATATGTTCTCTTACTGAATACCTATACTGAGAAGACGAAAATGTTTTGTATTTCAAGAATGTAACATGTTTAACATATGTTCTCTTATTGAATACCTATACTGAGAAGACGAAATTGTTTTGTATTTCAAGAATGTAACATGTTTAACATATGTTCTCTTATTGAATACCTATACTGAGAAGACGAAAATGGTTTGTATTTCAAGAATGTAACATGTTTAACAATTATCATAAATTTGACCTACCCATCCTGTCTGGTTTGTAGTGATAATAAAAGATGATGATTAAATAATATCTCCTAATATCGCATGGGACATGAATGATAACCTACGGAATTGAGTTTTTGCCACAAACTCAGATTTTCTATTCCCTATATCTTTGCAACCAAATGTCGTAGACCTCAGATATTTCAATCTATAAATTTTGTTTATCAAATAATCTGAGTTTGGTATATCAAAGGTTTACACCATCAGGTGGCAGAGATATAGGATCTAGAAAATCAGAGTTTGTTGCAAAGACTCAATTCCTTTGCAGATATTATTATTATTATTAATATAATAGTCCATAGATAAAAAAGCGTGAATTTAAAAGTTAATGCAATTTTTCTGGGATGCCCTGATGGAATTTATAAATGTTGCATGTAGATGTTCAAGTATCGTGTATATAATATATCAATTGTAAGTGTGAATAGTTGGGGGGGGTGGGGATAAAATGGGAAGTGGTTGAGATATATTGAAGGGAGGGGGGGGGGGATAAGGGTAGGATGAGTATAATTAATTTGAAAGTTCAGGTATATACATACCTTAATATCTTACATACAAACACCCTAGCTTATATCCAGTGGTACTCATACAAAGACGACTTTTAGACTGAAGTTATGATTTTAAATAGTTCAATGAACATTGAACAGCAATTGTGCAGTGTATACAGACCCTGCTTACTAAAAAAGTAAATTTTTTATATACTGGGTAAACCTTTTTTACTTGAAAAAAACGAGGCGAGGTAGGCCAACCACAACAATTCCTAGTCCGAGCCACATTTCCCTGATTTTCTCGTCCAAGCCACCTCGAAATCCTCGTCCAATTAAGAACATTTTTTTATGTAACCCTATCCTTGAAGATGAGAATATTTTTTGAAAATCTGGCCACGTTATGGCATAAAACATGGCTAGACTAAAGTTTTGCAATGATTTTATAATGTTTGAATCTTCAAATCTATGAGAATGATGTCAAACTTTATTTAGGTTAAAACTTATACCTTTCATAATTCAAAAATGATATCAAAGGATTAACTTGAACATGGTCTATAATTTTTCCGTTTCAACCCAAATAGAAAAATCATTGATTTCTGATATATTTACAAATTAAGCAAATTTTTGTTCTCGTACCAAGATCACTTCTTCCTGTCACACGATTAGATCCAAGGAGAAAATAGAGTACCGTCTGCAAAGCATGGTAAGGCGGGGCGCGTCCGTTGTATCTCCCTTCTATTTCATATTCCTTGTTTGGAAGCATATCCATTTTTTTACAAAGGAGTTGAGTTTTTGCCACAAACTTTGATTTTCAAATCTCTATATCTTTGTAACCCAATGTCGTAGATCTTAGATATTTCAAACTATTAATACTTATAGATACAATAATCTAAGTTTGAAATATCAAAGGTTTGCACCATCAGGTTGCAAAGATATTGAGATCAGAAGATTTGAGTTTGTGGCAAAAACTCAATTCCTTTAAAATTTGCAAGAGAAAATTCGATACTTCATTTATTCCTTAAATTGTATTATGGTGTTATAGACGAATCAGAAATTATAAAACAACCAAAAGAATTATTATTAGAATGCTTATTACAAAAAAATATTCTACAAGTATAATTATTTCTTTAGTAAAAACTAGGCGGTCACTTTGAATTAGTTTTAGCATTTAAATGTTACTTTTGAAGTCGTCATTTTTTTCTTAGTCGTAACCCTTAAAGTTTCGCGGATTTTTCTGTTAACATTATAATTTATTAACTTTGATCGGCCATAAACCTTCTTGGGGTCATGGTTTGGAACCGATCAGTTCAATAATTTTTTTATTTTCTTGGACTCAATTACGAACAGACAAATAATAAGGCAGAAAATATAAATAGAAAATATAGTTTATTGTTAAATAAATTGTTTTTATCTCTTATTTTGTTGTTGTTGTGAGCTGCACAACAGAAGATACTGTTTTATGTTGTTACATTAATTACATTTTGATGTCGTAATTTTTCCAGTTTTTAAAACCTTCTTAGTCCCGAACCATCGAACAGAGTACTGAATTTTTCAAAAGCAAACATGGGGGTGGGGGGGAGGGGGGCATTTTTAAAAGGGGAATTGAACAGAATGCCACCCCCCCTCTAGTTATGTTGACTTTTTAGCTGTTAATTATTCTCTATCTTTCTATCATTATTATAATTCCTGTTGATACCCCTGAAATAGATTTTTCTTAAATTCCGTGCGTGCTCTTTGCACGAAAAAGTAAAAGTGCGCAATAAAATAAGACGTTTATGTGCTTATGCACATGTTCTTGTTAATTGGAACACTTTTCACGCGCACCTTGAGCTCACATACAGGGACAGAAAATATTCTAAAAATACATATTTTGTGTAAAAAGAATTGCACATTTTTGACAATTTTGTACGATTAAGAATCAATATTTGAAATAAAAAATATTTAGCTGAAAAAACAACATCTTTGTAATAAAAGCCCAGGCGCCGTAATATAAAGTTTAAATCTCATAGGGAATCAGAAGTTGAAAGTCAAGTTAGAACTTTTTGGTTAAAAACAAATTTTGCTAAAATTTTTTTGATGCATAGGGTAGGGTGGAGGGACGTTAAAACGGCGGGTCAGTGTTTCAAAAAAATCCGAAATGGTTAATAAATTTTTATTAAGTAAGCTACATGGCTAAAATTTATATATTTGAAAAGCCGTTAAAAAATTAATATAATAACACGTGTCATATGTTAATATTTAATTAAAGTAAAAATAACTATTTTTGAAAATCATTTCGACATCCTTTTTGAACTTTTTAAAAATCCTCCGTTACACCCTATCAATTAAAGTTAGAGGTGTATTTTTTTTAATGAGCAGGCTTGAAAAGTTGGACTGGGGACATGTACCACACTCCCCTATCTCAATTCTAAGGGCAAAATCATATGGATGGTGGAAAAGACCCCCCCCCCTTATCTATATTAGACAAAAATAGCCCAATCAGGATAGGGTTAAAACTGAAATGTTAATAAATTATTTCAATAATTTTTCAGACAATGCGGAAACCTAAAAAGCTGTGAAAAGTAAAAAATGAAAATGCGCCGAAAACGCCGGCTTGAAAACTCCTGCTTTCCTGCTTCCGGCTTCATTTTACTGAGCAGCTGTTTGCTAATCACAGCTGGAGCAGGGGATACTGTAGCAGCACAGAGACAGGTAGCATCATGTACAGTACATAACTAGATAGCTGAAATACAGATAGTACATAAACCGGTGGTTTATACTGCACATTAAACTGTACATAGACAAATAGCTTAAACACAGTACATATAAAAAATACAGGTAGCTTTTGGGCAGTACATTGGAAGGTAGTTTTGGACAGTACATTGGAAGGTAGTTTTGGGCAGTACATTGGAAGGTAGTTTTGGGCAGTACATTAAAAGGTAGCTTATTTACAGAAACATATTCAGGTAGCTCCAGGTAGCTAATTAGAGTACATATATACAGCTAGCTGGAATTAAAACGTTTTATAGAAAGTAGCTAATATACAGTACAGGAAACTTGCATACAGTACAGAGACGGGCATATTAAGTACAGTTCATATACAAGTAGCTTATGTACAGTGAATAGACAGATAGCTTATGTACAGTACATAGACAGATAGCTAATGTACAGTACATAGACAGATATTTTATGTACGGTACATAAACAGATAGCTTGCTCAAAATACAGGTAGATTATGTATACTACATAGACGTACAAGCAGCTAATATACAGTGCATGTACAGGTAGCTTGCATACAGTACATAGACATGTAAATTATGTACAGTACTAAAACAAATAGCTTTTATACAGTACATAGAAATCTAGTTAATAACTGGTACAAAGAAAAGCATCAGGACAGCTAATTAAACCATCAGAATGGCTAATAGATCCTTAAAAACTAATAGCTAATTAAAACTACTGCCAGAAGCATCAGGACTGATAATAGAAGCTTCAGGACTATTACCAAAACCTTCACGACGGCTGCTTTAGTTTCAAATTCAACTTTTTTTAAATTATCTAATAATCTAAATTTTAGGCAGTACCTAGGAAGCAAAGCAGTTGAGCTAGGGCTTTCAAAATTTGATACGATATGCCTGATTTTTAGGAAAATACTTAAAATTTGAGAACCCCATACCTTTCAAAAGTTATTGCAAAAAATTTGAACATTATTATGTATGCGCACAACATCGATATTAATACTTCATTTTGTTTGCCAATTTATAAGCACTGACATAACTGTTTAAAACCCAATTTTTTTAACTAAACTGGTTTCTTCAAATGTGAACTTTGATCTTGGGAAGACAAAAATATTTTTGTTGGGTTTTCCTAAAATGAAAATCTTAGCTTATGAGCAAAAAACTCGCAAAATTTCAAAAGAAATCATACCACTTTTTTAATCGCTCTTAGAAGGCAAAAAAAGACAAAATATAAAGAACCTATTTTTTTAAAAAGTTTTAGAAATATACATTTTGAGGAAGATTGCACAAAAACTCGTTTGCTGTCCAATTTTTATCTGTAGGTTATTGAATTAAATAAACCTTAGCTTTATTTTAATAATGCACATCTGTGTTACTAAGGAAATGCACTTTATATATATATCGTCAGTCCTTTACTTAGCTTTTATTTAAACCATTGAGTTTCAGCCATTAAAGATAATGCAATGTGTTGGGGAGGTGCAATAAATAGATAAACATGTGTTGGGGAGGTGCAATAAAATGATAAACATGTACGTGTATATGAATAGAAGAGCAGTGCATGGAGAGAAAAATAAAGTTTATTTTCCTGCTGTTATTTCAGATAAGGCATCCGGGGAAGGGGGGGGGGCTTAGAGACAACTTAAAGATCGTCTTTGATCGTGGAATTTTTTGTCAAAAGATTAATGATCGAAGCCAACTTTTCAGTGGGATATCCTGCAGGGTCGATCTCCATCTTTAGAAAATTCCTTTGATTTTTATTCACGAGGACAGAAAATGTTTCATGAAAATATTTTTGACATTCTCAACGATTTCAGATCGTTTAAAAACAAGCAATTAACGATCTCAGATCGTTTAAAAACAAGCAATTTTGCCAGGTTTTTTTTTGACACAGGGTTAAACTTTTGTTAGTGTTTTTTAAATAAAAACATCATCAAAATTTTATTAGTTTTTTTTTAACTTTTGAAGATGAAAGAAGTCTTCTTAAGTCTTTTTTTAGTTAAATTAAGATTATATTTGCAAACTTGAATTTGAATAAAATTAATCTGTGTTTTTCCTAATTTTACAATTGCTAGCTAGTTGTCTTAAAAACAGTAAATATCTCCATACATTATTGTTCTTGACAAAACCTAAATTAGGATACGGGGGTACTCATAAAGAAGGAGGCTTTAGAAACTGAATTCAAACATTAATAACTAACAGAAACCTTCACTGTCTGAAACCGTATTTTAAAATCATAGCCATTTTTTTGATAAATTGTAGCTTCTTAAAATCATTCCTCATCTATGTTCTCTTATTGAATACCTATACTGAGAAGACGAAAATGTTTTGTATTTCAAGAATGTAACATGTTTAACATATGTTCTCTTATTGAATACCTATACTGAGAAGACGAAAAGCCGAATCCTGGCTTTTAATCAAAATATATATTCAATATCTTTCTTACAATTTAGTTTTCTCCAACCTCCTTGTATTTAAAGATAACATTTTGGTAAATTTTCATGTTTTCAATGTAATTTCCAAAATTCATTAAACAAAACATTTTTGAGTCAACGCTTTTTGTGTAATATAAATATTTGATGATGTTCTTGATATCATGAAGTATAGAATATCAAATAAATATATCTGATTATAGAATGAATAAAAATATAATTTCTAAAATATCTAAATATACATGTCGATTATATAAAAGACCTGACCTGATCGAGCTGAAAAGATTAAAAAGAATTGATTTCGAAGCGCAACTAATTCTTGAGATATGAAGCGTACATGTAGAAAATATAGCCTCAATTCAACGCAATTTTTCAAGGTTTAGACGATAACTAAATCTTGTATTTCTCCCCAAGGACTTCATCACATGAATGTGAAAATAATTAAAAATAATCTAAATATAAAACGGCCATAGTTTAACCAAATTGTACTCGAGAGTAGAAAGCAACCTATATATATATGTATTTATATATTTAGATATATGTATTTACATATTATAAAAATCAAGGAGATATTGAATAAAAGGAGGGGGCGATAGGGTTTCCTTACACTGTGGTGTGACGTTTTTGGACTGCTGAAGAACTAGTTTTTGTGTAACAACAATAAAAAAGGCAGCCGATCTAATGTAAACAAACATGAGTTAGTAAACTGTGAAAGTAGTATTATCTTGTTAAAAAAGATTGAAAAAGTTAGGGATTTTAGTTTTATACGAAAAGGACCTTATTACAGAGACATTTTCAATCAAATTCAATATCTCCTTGATAAAAATCATCTTTAATTTGTAATTTGTCAAATGTAAGTTGACCTTCCTTTAAGTTCATTAATACTATTGATCAAGTTTGTCTAGTAAGGGTGTACGAGAAATGTCGTCTCCACAGGCAGTATAAATTTTGTACAATCGTCTCTGAAGTCTCATCCTTTGTGGGTAACCCTGTAGAGGCGAGTGTAGGGATCAGTGACATCATGTACGGATTACATTCCGTACATTTAAGCGCATCGAGAGTAAGCAACCTTGCTAAACAACCTTGCCATTGATCGATCGCTTAAAAGGCTTGAGAGAGGGGGGTAATGCGCTTCACTCTTCTTTTTTTTAATAATCTCTTGGAAATTGCTGAACCCTCTTTTATATGCACAGAATCAGACCACTCAGCAATTTTAGGGGTTTTTAACCCCTGAAATGTTAAAGTTATCTGAAATGTTAAAAAGACTGTAAAGGAAAAATGAAAGGGGATATAGGATGAAACCTGAAAATCTCAGGCCTTGAACGATACATATAAGACATCTTTCTGATGTTCCTGTCTCGAGAAATTGATATAAAACTGTGTAAAAATTATACGAAAATCTATATATATGAAATTTTGCGTAAAAGTTGTAGTATTAAGCAGATCATATTCAACAAATACGCAACCAATCTGAAAACGATTATATCCCACAGAAACCTGAGAATCTCAGGTTTCTGTGGGATATCGTTGTTTTCAGATTGGTTGCGTAATTTTGGAATATGGTCTGTTTTATACTACAACCTTTCAAAATTGCATATATATTATATATATTATATATTTTATATAAATATTTTTCGTTCAACGCCTGAGATTCTCAGGTTTCAGCCCCTTTCATTTTTCCTTTACAGTCCCTTTAACTTATTTTCCTTTAAAAAATAAGAATATAAAGATACAAAACAAACACTAGGTTATTTATTGGATAGTGAACAAAATAGGGCTCTCATGCAAAAATCTATCCACACCAGACTGGACAGATAGAGAAGGTCAAATTTATGTGAAAACACTGGTAGGACTTTTACGATTTTACGCACACACTTGTACTGTATATACTACAGTAAAAATGAAAGTTACTACAATAAAAATGAAATTTATTGCAGTAAAAATAAAATTTACCACAGTAAAAATGAAATTTACTCCAGTAAAAATAAAATTTACTACAGTAAAAATGAAATTTACTCCAGTAAAAATAAAATTTACTGCAGTAAAAAATGAAATTTACTCCAGTAAAAATAAAATTTACTACAGTAAAATGAAATTTACTCCAGTAAAAATAAAATTTACTACAGTAAAAATGAAATTTAATCCAGTAAAAAAAATTTACTACAGTAAAAATGAAATTTACTACAGTAAAAAATGAAAGATACTACAGTAAAAATGAAATTTACTACACTAAAAAATGAAAGATACTACAGTAAAAATGAAATTTACTACAATAAAAAAGAAAGATACTACAGTAAAAATGAAAGTTACTACAGTAAAAAATGAAAGATACTACAGTAAAAATGAAATTACTACAGTAAAAAATGAAAGATACTACAGTAAAATGAAAGATACTACAGTAAAAAATGAAAGATACTACAGTAAAAATGAAATTTTACGAAGATAACGACGAATTACAATTGTGGTGTATAAAAAATACTGACATAAAATTACTTTTCTTTGTCATACATCTATTATCTGAGGAATGATAATGCTGCATTTGAATTCAAGATATCAAATATCTATATAAAATATTTTTTGATGCAGCTATTAAGATTATACAAAGAAATTTAAAGATTCATCATGGTAATAATATTATAGAAAACTAAATCGTAAATATTTGAAAACAATGATATTTTACCTCGTGAATCCTATACTATCATCATCTCGTGAATCCTATACTATCATCATCTCATGAATCTTATACTATCATCATCTCATGAATCTTATACTATCATCATCTCGTGAATCTTATACTATCATCATCTCGTGAATCCTATACTATCATCATCTCGTGAATCCTATACTATCATCATCTCATGAATCTTATACTATCATCATCTTGTGAATCTTATACTATCATCATCTCGTGAATCCAAAACAAAATAATAATTTTTCAGTGACCTGAAACAACAAACAAACTCCTTGAATATAAATAATTGAAATCTATTTTTAAGAAAGGGTGCACTACTAAAAGTTTTTTTTCGGTTTGTCCCTGCAAAATTTCTCAGTTATTTCTACTATTTTGTTTCTGATTTTAGCACATTAATGGTCATGTCTAATTGTTGACGTTTTTAACGTTTTTTGTTTATTTTAAAATTTTCTGTGATTTTGTAAATTGGATAATTCTTAAAAATTCAACAGCGAATATCAAAATTTTTAGCCAATATTGGTTGGTTAAACACAATTTCTTTGTGAGGTTTATAGAGTCAAATATTGAAAGATTTATGACTGGAAATCTATCCTTGTCCATCTTTATAGCTGCAGGCCCATTCTTTATAAAGGAGTTTAAAGAAGTATTTCAAAACTGAATTAAAACCAGGAAGAACAAGAAAGAGCGTACACTCTAATAGTATCACATTCACATGCGAAAGGTCAAATTTATATAAAATTACCGATGAAACATTATGCTTTCATATCTCCTGTTTTAAAGGGACAGCCCGGCTATGTAAGGTAGTTGAACTGAGTATGCAGTGTTGTGGAAAGCTTCTTTAGGATTCATTTGAAGTAAAAATTATACAGTAATCTAATTAGATGGTTAGGAACATATTTCTCAAATAAATGTGCCAATAAATCAATGCTAGTTATTTCGTTTTCATTATTATATTGAATTTCTTTTTTTCTTTTAATTTATTCGCAGATTTCTTCAAATTCTTCAAATGTCGTCTTTTCAATAATAATTCCAGAAAATCTGCAGACAATCTTTGTGAGTAATGAGAAACCAGAATAATGAGAAACCAGAATAATGAGAAAATAGAAACTAATAATTGAACAAGATTACTTATTTCCGATGATAAGATTAATTTTTATTTTCTCAACCTGTTCCTTAACAACTATTTAATAACTAAAAAAAAACAAATTCTGAAAACGTATCCACCCCCAAAGTAGGAGTTTTGAACGTCGAATTTGCGCTCAAACTTAGGATTTACGGCTCTTTAAAAAGTTTTGTATGTCTCAAACAAATCCTAAAGAAGGTTTCCACAGCACTGCATACTCAGTTTACCTTCATTACATAGCCGGTCACTCCCTTTAAGATGTAGATGTAGTCTAGAAATGTATAGTTTGTAGTGTAGAAATGTATAGTTTGTAGTGTGGAAATGTATACTTTGTAGTGTATAGATTAGATGTAGTGTAGAAATGTATAGTTTGTAGTGTGTAGATGTAGTGTAGAAATGTATAGTTTGTAGTGTGTAGATGTAGTGTAGAAATGTATAGTTTGTAACCGATAAATATTAATATATTCAAATAATGATGGAGAATACAAGAAATGATATCTTTGGGTCATTTTCTTCAAAACCTTCAGGCGTATTTTAGGTTTGCGTACGTTCTGTTTGGAATGCGTCAGATATTTGTTCCTAGGCCCCATCGATGGTAAAGGGGAGGGGGGCACATTCCTTGACATTATTATAAGTTACTCAGTTTTTAGTCATTGCCAAAAAAATATATTCTCACGTGACAAATATCTTTAATCCCACAACACTCGCATGTTTGTCTGCCAAATCAGTTGCGTCTTGTTAAAGCACCAAGAATACCAAAATCTGTAAAATTATAAATTAAAATAAATAATATTTTTTTTTAATACATTTTAATAATGATTATTGACCCCTTGTAATTATAGTTTCGCTTTATATTATCATTGATACCAATTTCCAACAAAAACGCAAAAGTCATAATTTAACATTCTCGTATACCCCACCTCCCCCCCTCCCATATAATGTGTCTGGTGTATTGTATGGGTTTGCTCCAAAATTATGGGTTCACGATTCTTATCAGTGTGTAATTCTCGGAGTATATAAAGAAGAAGAATAAACCACTGAAACCAATTTTTGGTGAGATAATTCGCAATTTTCTTCAGAGTTGCGAGGATTTCCTCAACTCAAAAAAGTGCACACAAAAAAAATGTCTCGCAGAAAGATAACTGATTGAGCACAAACATTTTGGTACACAACATATTTCCGTAAGTTATCTTTATTATTTGATTGCGTACTAGAATTTACACAACATTGCGAATACCCTGGTGTAATAATAAAACGTTCGCTTTATCATTTTTTTAAATTTCGCAGAAATCCCTAATCATGAGATTTGATCATGAGAAATCTATTGCTTGTTGCGAACTTTCCCATTATATCTCAAATGAATCCTTAAGAATTTGTCCACAACACTGCATACTCAGTTCAACTACCTTACATAGCCGGTCTGTCCCTTTAAAACTATTTACTCTTTCATACACCATCATCAGGTTGCAAAGATATTGAAATTAGAATATTTGAGTTTGTATGTGGCAAAGACTCCGTTAATTTGAATCTTTATATATAATGTCTAGAGATACTACAAGACATTACAGAGTGTATAGTGAAACTTTAAATTATGAGTTTATGTTACACTTAATCTTTGAGTGTTATCCCAGGATCCCACCCATAATACGCATTTATACGCCCTGTATTTTTCATGTTACGCTTATTTCGGTGCTTATTTGTTATTTGTTTGGATTAGGCACGGAACTGTTTGATCTTTAAGCTTTAAATCCTTTCAGATTGTTTTTACTAGGCGTACTTAATACTAATAGGAGAGACAAAAACAGTATAAACAATCTTATCAAATACTTCCTTAAAGTACACATTAGAAAAAATGTACAATAACAAACACCAATTCAATAACACTACGATATCTAGTCTTTACAATAATGAATTAGTCGTTTATCAATCGGAAACCCAATGAATGTTATCTAAATTATTTCATCTGAACAAATTCTTAGTTTCTAAGGTCTACGACATTGGGTTGTAAAGATATAGGGATTAAAAAATTAAACATTTTTTACAAAGACTAAATTCCTTAATCATTTTTACTTGAATTGTTATATCTAAATTTTAAGGAGATTTTGTTAATATTCAGTGTGCATAGTCGGGGGTTTTTTTAGGCTTCTAACTTTAATGGTTCATGGTTCTAAAAAGGGTTTAAACAAATTGAAAAAAAAATTGTCGGAAAAAGTAAAAATCGTTTTATTTTTGAAATTTTACTTTTATATTTTGTTTTATAGCGAATGAGCTATTTAATTCTAAACAAAAGTTCCTGGGACCGGATTCAATGAGATGCGAAAAGTCGTAGTTTAACTTACCGCCGCGGCCGGTTCAAATCCTGAATTACCGATTCAAAGTTAAATATTCATGAGAATTTAGGTAATTAATAGGAGAGTGAATCGGTGATTGAAGATTTGAACCGGTGGGAGGTGTGTTCAGCGACATCTCCAGTTTATTAAATTCGGTCTCTGAAATCAGTTTTATGAATGTACGTGAGCTGAAAAAATTGCACAATCCTTCCACAGTTTTCTTGTTCTCACTGTATTCTACTATTTCTATACTTCAGGCTGGTTTTCCGTGTACTGCTATGGGTACTGGGTACTATGCTGATACTGGTGCAGACTGTACTGGATACTTTATGTGTACTAAGGAAAGTACACAGGGACTCAGGTACAAAGAAACTGATTGCTCGCAAATATTGCAACTTGATGGTGTAAATCTTTGATTAGAATTCAAAGTATATTGTGAATCCTATCTATTGTGAATCCTATATATTGTGAATTCTATATATTGTGAATCCTATATATTGTGAATCCTATAAATTGTGAACCCTATATATATGTGAATCTTATATATTGTGAATTCTATATATTGTGAACCCTATATATTGTGAATCCTATATATTGTGAATCCTATATATTGTGAATCCTATATATTGTGAACCCTATATATATATATATGTGAATCCTATATATTGTGAATCCTATATATTGTGAATATTATATATTTTAAATCCTATATATTGTGAATCCTATATATTGTAAATCCTATGTATATCGTGAATCCTATATATTGTGAATCCTATATATTATCAATCCTATATATTGTCAATCCTATATATTGTCAATCCTATATATTGTAAATCCTATATTTATCGTGAATCCCATATGTGAACCCTATATATTGTGAATCCTATATTGTCAATCCTATATATTGTGAATCCTATATATTGTGAATCCAATATATCGCGAATATTATATGTTGTGAATCATACATATTGTGAATCCAATATATTATCCCTTATATGTGTGAATCCAATATATTGTGAATCCCATATATGTGTGAATCCAATATATTGTGAATCCCTTATATGTGTGAATCCAATATATTCTGAATCCTATATATTTTGAATCCTATATATATTGCAGAATCCTATATTTCGTGAATCCTATATATAGTGAGTATTATATATTGTAAATCCTATATATTGTGAATCCTATATATTGTGAATCCTATATATTCTGAATCCTATATTTTGCAGAATCCTATATTTGGGACTCCTATATATCGTTTATCCTATATATGGTGAGTATTATATATTATGAATCCTGTATATTGTGAATCCTATATACTGTCAATCCTATATATTGGGAATCCTTTATATTGTGAATATTATATATTGTGAATCCTATGTATTGCAGAATCCTTTATATTGTGAGTCCCGTATATTGTGAATCCTACATATTGTCAATCCTATATATTGTAAATCCTATATATTGTGAATCCTACATATTGTAAATCCTATGTATTGTGAATCCTATATATTCTGAATCCTATATATTTTGAATCCTATATATATTTTGAATCCTATATATTGGGAATCCTATATAAAGTGAGTATTATATAGTGTAAAACCTATATATTGTGAATCCTATATATTGTGAATATTATATATTTTAAATCCTATATATTGTGAATCCTATATATTGTAAATCCTATATATATCGTGGATCCTATATATTGTGAATCCTATATATTGTCAATCCTATATATTGTGAATGCAATATATTGTGAATCCCTTATATGTGTGAATCCAATATATGTTTTGAATCCCATATATGTGTGAATCCAATATATTGTGAATCCCTTATATGTGGGAATCCAATATATTGTGAATCCATTATATGTGTGAATCCAATATATTGTGAATCCCATATATGTGAGAATCCAAGGTGTTTCTGGATTTATCTCAAATATCTCGTTAAAGATGACATATATCTGTTCTATTGACAGCTTCAATAGTCAACACCACGCAAAGATTACATTCCAGCCGTGTAGATATATCTACCAGTAATAAGAGATGAATATGAACACACACTCTAGGAAATATTAAATTTCCAATGAGCAAAAATTGTTAGAGCACCAGATCATTATTCTTTATATTTCTTTTAATGAAAAATGCATATGAAAATTTTATATTTCTTAGAGTGCAGGCATTGCAAGTATTAAGAGGAATTAAGTTATAAAATTAGAAAAAAGCTTAAAATGTTGTAAAGCTACTTATAGTTGTAAAGCTCGTTGGAGCATACTTTTCGAATTGTAAGTTTATAACAGACACAATTGTTACTATTTCTAATCAAAAGGCTTATAAAACGACCTCTATCATTTTGATTTTTCAGAGTTATTAGTTGTATTAGATTAGAGTTATTAGTGGTATTAGATCAGAGTTATTAGGGGAATTAGATCAGAGTTAATAGTTGTATTAGATCAGAGTTATTAGGTGTATTAGATCAGAGTTATTAGTTGTATTAGATCAGACTGATTAGTTGTGTTAGAACAGAATTATTAGGTGTATTAGATCAAAGTTATTAGGTGCATTAGATCAGAGATATTAGTTGTATTAGATCAGAGTTATTAGTAGATCAGAGTTATTAGTTGTATTATATCTGATTTATTAGGTGTATTAGATCAGAGTTATTACGTGTATTAGATCAGAGTTATTTGTTGTACTAGATCATAGTTATTAGGTGTATTATATCTGAGTTATTAGGTGTATTATATCTGATTTATTAGGTGTATTAGATCAGAGTTATTAGGTGTATTAGATCAGAGTTATTACGTGTATTAGATCAGAATTATTAGGTGTATTTTATCTGATTTATTAGGTGCATTAGATCAGAGTTATTAGGTGTATTAGATCAGAATTATTAGGTGTATTAGATCAGAGTTATTAGGTGTATTATATCTGATTTATTAGGTGTATTAGATCAGAGTTATTAGGTGTATTAGATCAGAGTTATTACGTGTATTAGATCAGAATTATTAGGTGTATTTTATCTGATTTATTAGGTGCATTAGATCAGAGTTATTAGGTGTATTAGATCAGAATTATGTATTAGATCAGAGTTATTAGTTGTATTAGATCAGAGTTATTAGGTGTATTAGATCATAGTTATTAGTTGTATTAGATCATAGTTATTAGGTGTATTAGACCAGAGTTAAATCTTCGTTTTTACCTTAGTATATAAAATCCTGTCTAAAATTGAATGGTTCAAAATAAAAAATCATAAATATATAAATATATATATCTATACATATATATATATATATATATATATTTTCCAACTGATGATTGGGTTAGACCCATGAAACCTTTTGTCTTGGAAGAAATATATATCTAAACATCTAAAATGTATATTAAACTGAAAAAAGTTGAAAATACTATATATATATGTAGGATAATTTACTGTTTAGATTCGCTTGCTCCCCAGGGACCAGGTTTCAACAAAAAAGTCTCGGTAATCTTTTTTTTAACAAAACATACAGTGATACCCAGAATACTGTAGAATAGGAAGACGTCATTAAAGCAATATTGAAGTTTATTTGATGCTTTTACAAAGCAAATATTCTTCCAAAAGTAACTTATTAAATCACTTATTAAGTTCAATGGGTCTGTTTACAATGCACAATTACTGTGTCTCATGCTCATTGGACTATTTAAAGTTATAATTAAATTAAAAGTCGACTTCCTACTTCAAAACTTTTTGGTTATCACTGTATTAAAAAAATTAATATTTTTTAAGAAAGTATTGTTTAGTTTGTGATCATGCCTACAGTGTGAAGTGTGAAGAATCAGAAAAATATTTCTTTTTAAATAAAAGAATTGGGTTTCCACATATCAATTTACATGGTGAGTATTTTTATTCATATGTCTACACCTGTCTTCACCCTATAGATGTAAATAGCCCAAAAATCAAAATTGGGGTGGTATGTTATTTTTTCCCTGTTTCTGTGCGCCGCGTATAAAAACATAAAAATGTCACTTGATAAAAATGTGGACCACATTTTTTCTCTGTGCGCCTATACGTTTTCAAGTTCAAAGATTCATCTCACTCAAAATTTGTTTTCAATTTGTCAAAATTGTGTTTCTTTGCGCCGCGTATAAAAACATTAAGATGACACTAAAAAAATCGGACCATATGTTTTTTTTTCTGTGCGCCTATGCGTTTTCAAGATGCAAGGATTCAACTCTCTCAAAAACTTTTCTTTTTATTTGTCAAAATGGTGTTTCTGTGCGCCGCGCATAAACGAACAGAAAGAACTTGTGGTCCTGATTTTTTTATCAAGTGACATTTTGATGTTTTTATACGCGGCGCACAGAAACAGGGAAAAAATAACATACTACCCTATTTTTTTATTTTGGGGCACCTGTCTTCATGTCTACCTTTTTACATGTCTATAGTGTATACCTGTCTACCTCTCTACACCTGTATGCATGTCAACCTTTCTACATGTATATTGTATACCTGTCTACCTGTCTACTTGTCTACCTGTCTACTTGTCTACCTGTCTACTTGTCTACCTATCTACCTGTCTACCTGTCTACCTGTCTACCTGTCTACCTGTCTACCTGTCTACCTGTCTACCTGTCTACCTGTCTACCTGTCTACCTGTCTACCTGTCTACCTGTCTACCTATTTAACTGTCTACCTGTTCACATGTCTACCTGTCTACCTGTCTACCTGTCTGCCTGTCTACCTGTCTACCTGTCAACCTGTATACCTGTCTATCTGTCTACCTGTCTACCTGTATATATGTCTACCTGTCTACCTGTCTACCTGTCTACCTTTCTACCTGTATACCTGTCTACCTGTCTACCTGTCTACCTGTCTACCTGTCTATCTGTCTGCCTGTCTCTACCTGTCTACCTGTCTACCTGTCTACCTGTCTACCTGTCTACCTGTCTACCTGTCTACCTTTCAACCTGTCTACCTGTCTACCTTTCTACCTATCTACCTGTCTACCTGTCTACCTGTCTACCTGTCTACCTGTCTGCCTGTCTACCTATCTACCTGTCTACCTGTCTACCTGTCTACCTGTCTACCTGTCTACCTGTCTACCTGTCTACCTTTCTACCTGTCTACCTGTCTATATATCTACCTGTCTATATATCTACCTGTCTACATATCTACCTGTCTATATATCTACCTGTCTATATGTCTACCTGCCTAACTATTTACCTGTCTACCTGTCTACCTGTCTTCCTGTCTTCCTGTCAACCTGTCTTCCTATCTACCTGTCTATATATCTACCTGTCTATATATCTACCTGTCTATATATCTACCTGTCTATAAGTCTACCTGTCTTCCTATTTACCTATTTAATTGTCTACCTCATGATAATTTAGTTATTTATGAGAAGAGAAATGAGAAGAAAATACTAAAACCATATTTTATCTATTTCTCTAGACTTCAGTCCAATATCTAACCGGAAACAAAACGATGCTGTTTTTAATGAAGTATTGACACCGGATCGACATCTCAGGTAAGAAGTCGTAAACATAGAATAAATAAAAATCTTTTTCTTGACATGCTTTTATTTTCAGTAAAAAAAGTCTAAATCTGGAATCCACGAATAACGGAAATGTTGAAGGCCTTGTATTCCAGTCTCGTGGATTTTCAAGCTTTCAAAATAGCAGGCAATTTCCAGTGACTTCAACGCGCCTTGAGAAAAGTATCATTGTCCCACTTCCTAACTTTCAACATGATCTCGACTCTCAGCTTAAATGGGACAATTCAAAATACCACAAAGGGAAAAATTGAATCAAGTTAAATCTTTTTTGTTTGTTTTTAAAATTGTTTGAAACGAATTTCAACCGTTTTTTCATTTTGACACAATTTTTCTTGTTTAGCGAGTTCCCTTGTCAAAGAGAACCAAGTAGTTCCTCCAAATATTAAAAAATACCCACAAAATGTTAACGACGAGAAGATTTTTAGAGGCGAATATGAACCTGTCTTCCCTTCCCTAACTCTTCTTCCACCGCATGTAAATGCAAAATTTACATTAATTGAGAGGGGAAATGTTTCTTCTTCATTTTCTTCCAGATCAATCCTTCCTCCTCATTCCAATCCTGTCATTCTATCTTCTTCCAATCCCATTCTTCCTCCTCATCCCAGCCCCACCCCTCCGTCATCTTCCATTATCATTCTTCCTCCTAATTCCAGTCCTACCCTTTCATCTTCTTCCGTTCCCATCCATACTTCCCATTCCAGTCCCATTCTTTCTTCCTCTCCCTCTTCCATTCCCATTCTTTCTTCCTCTTCCAATCCCATCCTTCCTTCCCATTTCAGTCCCATTCTTCCTTCTTCTTCCATTCCCATCCATACTTCCCATTCCACTCCTATTCTTCCTTCCTCTTCCATTCCCATTCTTTCTTCCTCTTCCAATCCCATCCTTCCTTCCCATTCCAGTGCCACTCTACCTTCCCCTTCCATTTCTATCCATCCTTCCCATTCTAGTCCTACCCTTCCATCCCCCTACAGCACCCCCCTACCCGATACATCCCCCCAGGGACTGCAGTACAATATTGTTTACAAAACAAGCAAGGAAGAGATTCAAAAAGTACACAAAAACGTCGACAGAAGGAAGCAAAAAGAAAACTCTTCACGAGCGAAGCTAGAAAAGAGGAAACCCAAAAATGGTAAGAAACCATTTTAAACATTTCACAAGGGTAACTTTTAAAGCTTTTTCTCATTAAGTATAAATTAGATATTAATATTTAATGTCGTCTTTCATCTTTTCCTAATTAAACAATGGTTGCAGAAAACTCGCATTACGTTTCTAAGGGACACCCTGTATTTATTTTTATATTTCTAGGTTTGAGATGTTTAATGTTTAAAATATTCAGCAAATTCCAAACTTTAAAAATATATTTGGTGCGGAATTCTTCTTTGAACATCAAACAATTGATTCTTTGTTTAAAAATGTCTGGTATGCTCTTCAACCCCATGTTTTCAAGATAATCCCCACTCCTCCTACAAAAATGACCTAAAGATTCAATATGCATAAATTAAAGGCACACACTCTGTATTTTCTGTTTCACGTCTCATGTATCCTAATCCTGAGGCACTATTCTCATATTTATTATAGTTTTCTTTGCATATTTATACAATACACAGGATCAACAAATAAACAGACGACAGAGGGGAGGGGATACAACAAACATGCATAATCACACAGTCTTTCTTATTGAAAACTATTCACCAACTGTCATGTTTCGTTGGACACCCTGTTTAAACCAAATTTGTTTCAGTTGCAGTTCCTCCGAGGACTCTAGAGCCTCCAAGAGAATCAGCCTCCATTTCCTTTTTCGAGGATACGAGGCTAGTCAAGGGACACCATGGAGAAATAAATTCTGAAGAAATAGATGAAATTCAAAAAGTTGCTCCTTTTAGAGATTTAATACCACCACAAAAATCAATCCCTCCCACAGTTGTACTGCCTCCAAGTATTTTAACACCTCCGACATTTTTACAGCCTCCGACAAATTTACAGCCACCAACATTTTTCCAGCCTCCGAATGTTTTATCCCCTCCAAGTGGTAAATCTGGAATTAAAACTAAACTGAGTCTGGAGAATGAATCAATATGGCGTGAAGTTGAAAATGAAGAACTAAAATTTGGATCCAAATCTGCAATCAGAGATGTCAATGGTGGAAAAAACGTAGCAAAGAAATACTCCACGATCTTGCCAAATTTTACGGGAACGGAAAACCCGACATTTCAGACGGACATTGCGCCAGACTCTCAGAGAGATCACAATGGCGACAGAGAGACAGAGGTCAATGATATTGAAAATGAGATTGATTCTGAGTTTGTGGTGAAACCACGGGGTCCAATCCAAGGATTCTTCAACAAGGATAAACTTGAACAGTTTTCATTCTTTGCCAGGTGATTTATTTTTTTTAAGTGGATGTTTATTTTGAAAGAAAATGCTGCAAGAAGTAGCACTTAGTCTCCCAAAAAACATAATTTCCATCTCTAATATTCAATAAACTATGATACAATGGTCGGCGTTTATATCAATACAATGAAGACGACTTTTCGATTTAAGTTTTAATTTCTAACGAGTTTTTTTTAAAATTACCAATTTACACGAAAAACTTTTACTTTGTTATCCTATATTTTGCAATAAGTACGATGTATACTCACAGTTAAATTTTGAAGGGGGAGGGGGAAGTTTTGCGTTTAGCTATTTGTGACCAAATTTATACTTTACACAAAAAATAAATTTACGACGTATAATGATTGTTTGATTTAAGTGGTTTATTTTCCCACAAACCTATTCGTTAATAAAAGTTTTATTTCTTATCCCAATCATTACTGAAATTGTTTAAATAATTGAAAATGATATTAAATCTATAACTGCCAAGTGACAACAAAATTTCGGGTGACGGTCCAATGAAAGATTTGCTTTAAAACGTGTTTATTTCTGGCAACTTCCTAAATTGTCAATGCAACATTATTCCACAACTTTACGGAGAACGCATGATAGACGATGGTGTAAAGGACATCGTTGTGAATTGGGCATGCCCCTTTTTAATGAAGGAATACTTGAAACTACGAATTTAGATATGTTTAGGAGTAGCACTGAATCCAGTCTCTTTAATTTAGATATGCTTAGGAGCAGCACTGAACCCAGTCCCTTTAATTTAGATATGTTTAGGATCAGCACTGAATCCAGTCCCTTTAATTTTGATATGTTTAGGTGCAGCAATGAATCCAGTTCTTTAATTTAGATATGTTTAGGAGTAACACTGAATCCAGTCCCTTTAATTTAGATATGTTTAGGAGCAGCACTGAATCCAGTCCCTTTAATTTAGATATGTTTAGGATCAGCACTGAATCCAGTCCCTTTAATTTAGATATGTTTAGGAGCAGCACTGAATCCAATCCCTTTAATTTTGATATGTTTAGGATCACCACTGAATTCATTCCCTTTAATCTAGATATGTTTAGGAGCAGCACTGAATCCAGTCCCTTTAATTTTGATATGTTAGGAAGCAGCACTGAATCCAGGCCCTTTAGTTTTGATATGTTTAGAAGCAGCACTGAATCCAGTCCCTTTAATTTTGATATGTTTAGGAGTAGCACTGAATCACCGGCTATATCTTATCCTTCCTTGACCTTTGGTTTTATTCCAATAGGTAAAATATCTTAATATTTACATTACAACAAAAAATCTGCTTTAAGAACTTTTGAACTGAAGTGTCTAATTTTTTAATTAAAAGAACCTTTTTAAAGTGGAGCAGCTTATCTTTAAACTTTTATCACAAGCAAGCCATTACATTTACTGTATTTTCAAAAATAATAATTATAACATTGACGTTTTTAAGATGATCTTGTTTCAGAGGAAGATTCATTAGAAGAAAAAACAAGAAAGGGGCGCCAAAATATTCAGAAATCTCAGCAGCTCCTTTCAGACACAAGTAATGAACACCTAGAGAGGAAGGTTAGCCTAGTGTCCCCCCCGGATGAGCTAAGTGCCCCTCTGAAACAGGAGACCCAACCCAAACCCACTTTTCAATCTGGAAAGAAATCTATTTTGGATTTTCTGGGAATATTTGACACGAGGCGCTTCTTCTATATTCCGACGGAACGCGCGGACAAAGACGATGGAATCCTCGAAATTATATCAAGAATGTTACGCGGCTAAAGATGGCATTGCTGTTAAGTTGATGAACAATGTCGCAGGAATGTGAATGACAGCTTATATTTGTTTTATAAAGACTGAATTGGCATATGTTTAATAATTTTGAATTATCATATTAGTTTGATTTTGTAGTTAAATTTTGAGATGTGCCATATTTGTTGCTTTCTTCAAAAACCTCTTGTTAAATAATGATCAAGTGAATTTCTTTTTAAAAAACTAGTCATGCAAAAATGATGGACAGTGATTTGAATGCTTATTAATTCTTGTTCAAATAAAACCTTGATTTACCTATAATTTATCTATTTATTGTGTTTTTACACTACAATAGTAATATTTAAAATAAAGTATAAGAATTGATAAAAGTACACATTTACATTAGCGAAAAATTAGATTTATACAACTTCATCTTTGATTTAGAATAAATCTATAATCCTTGATAGGAAAAAAGGGCTGTACATTTCTTCAAAAAATTTTAGGTAGTAAAAATTAGAGGTCAAGACCCAGTTATAAAAATCGATGCAAATTTTCATAGTTGTTTGGATCTCTGAGTACATGAACCCTGGAATATTGACACAGGAGGAAGTTAGAGGGAACATTAATATAATCTTCCAGCATTCATAGATTCATCTAAGATCTACGACATTGTAAATTTATAGATATAAACAAATCAGAGCTAGTGGCAAAGACTCAATTCCTTTGCGTCAATTATCCGTAAAATTTTAGTAAAATGTAAATATTTTCTAAATGTTTTCGGAAGTAAGACATTGCAAACCAAATCTTGGTTCCAGCAGTGTGTATTAAACTATTTATACACTGTCAATACAGATCTTAACAGAAGTAGAATTTGATGGACACTATGAGAGGGAGCAGTTGAAGGACTACATAAACTCAGTTTGTCTGCAACAAAAGATAGGACTGAACAACGAAAAGTAATAGAAACATATATGATATGATATATGCAACAATGAGAGAAGCCTATCCTTCTATATTTATTCGCGAAAAAAGAAAGGGGGTATAGGCTTAATGCGATAAAAAAGCGCTTTTGATCGATACTAATCTTACTTCTATCTGTTGCGTCTATAAGGAGAAAATTGTTAAAGACGTCTCATACCGAATAACTTAGCCTCCATACCAATTGAGAAAATTGCAACATACGACTTAGATCGTAAAAAATCAATTAAATTTCGAACAAATCATTCAGATATCTTTCTAATATTGGAGATATCTGTTACAACAAGATTGAAGTTCCATGAAACAACCTATAGTCATCGATTATCTTTCGCTTCATTTGTATATAGTTTATATTTTATAATGCCACAAACTCTAAATTTCTAATTATTTTTTCTTTGCAACACAATATCGTAAAGCTTTGCTATATTAAACTAAGCCTTCTGTAAGATCCAATAGGCTGAGATATTAAAGCTTCATACCATCAGGTTGCAAACATGCAAAGATTATAAAATTGGAGTTTGTGGAAAGAACTCTGTTCCTTTGTTAATTGGAATTCGATATATATCAAAGGTCTATGATATAAATGTATTGGATATGGTTTGGTCTGTGGGATATGGTTGTGTAGAAATCTGCTAGTTTTGATATGATTTAATTAAAACTTTAATTCCATATTGGACGAATCAAACCGTTTTAATATCTTTTTACTAGAATTTGGCTTGGCACTGAAATTCAATTTTGATATGCAGTAGTATATACAGTTTAGAGTAACAAGAAATTGCTAGATGAATCCAAAAATTCCATTTAGAAAACTAAAAAACATAGCTGTTGATTTAAAAGTTGATTTTATAAATGAGAATGTTTAAGCAGGGTATATATAAAACAGGGGTTACCCCCATAGGATGAGAATAAATAGACGACATGAGACTCTTCAAGGTTTGATGATTCCACGGGGAAATTAAGTCTTTTGCTCTTGTATTTTGCTGTCGCAGGAAACAGAACAAGTTTACTGTCGCAGGAAACAGAACAAGTTTAGTCGCAGGAAACAGAACAAGTTTACTGTCGCAGGAAACAGAACAAGTTTACTGTCGCAGGAAACAGAACAAGTTTACTGTCGCAGGAAACAGAACAAGTTTAATGTCGCAGGAAACAGAACAAGTTTACTGTCACAGGAAACAGAACACGATTACTGTCGCAGGAACCAGAACACAATTACTGTCGCAGGAAACAGAACAAGTTTACTGTCGCAGGAAACAGAACAAGTTTACTGTGGCAGGAAACGGAACAAGTTTACTGTCGCAGGAAACACAACAAGTTTACTGTCCCAGGAAACTGAACAAGTTTACTGTCGCAGGAAACAGAACACGATTACTGTCGCAGGAAACAGAACAAGTTTACTGTCGAAGGAAACAGAACAAGTTTACTGTCACAGGAAACAGAACAAGTTTACTGTCGCAGGAAATAGAAAAAGTTTACTGTCGCAGGAAACAGAACAAGTTTACTGTCACAGGAAACAGAACAAGTTTACTGTCGCAGGAAACAGACCAAGTTTACTGTCGCAGGAAACAGAACAAGTTTACTGTCGCAGGAAACAGAACAAGTTTACTGTCGCAGGAAACAGAACAAGTTTACTGTCGCAGGAAACAGAACACGATTACTGTCGCAGGAAACAGAACACGATTACTGTCGCAGGAAACAGAACACGATTACTGTCGCAGGAAACAGAACACGATTACTGTCGCAGGAAACAGAACTAGTTTACTGTCGCAGGAAACAGAACAAGTTTACTGTCCCAGGAAACAGAACAAGTTTACTGTCGCAGGAAAAAGATCAAGTTTACTGTCGCAGGAAACAGAACAAGTTTACTGTCGCAGGAAACAAAACACGTTTAATGTCGCAGGAAACAGAACAAGTTTACTGTCACAGGAAACAGAACACGATTACTGTCACAGGAAAGGTGGATGTAGTGAAACAGAAAGTATAAATTCCATACAGTCTTTTTTTTGATATTATTTTACTAATTTTTTTACTTCAAGCCCCCATGAATATGCGTGCACGCACGTATTTTTCTACATGATTTTAAGTTTCTTTAGAGAATATTTAAACTTTTGAAATGAATTTAGTAATTTTTAAAATCTTTTTTACGATTTAATTTGCCAGAGCTAGGCTTAGTAAAAATAAATTCAGTGTATTAAATATGCTGCATTCAAAATTAAACCCAAATTTTTATTTGAGACCTTTGCATAAATCTTAAAACAATTCTTTTATCTTTGCTAATCCATAGCTTATCCATGGACTGTCAGTTCAAATCAAAGGTTTCAAGTCTCAATTTATATAAAACTAGAGCTTGGGAACCCAGCGTTGTACAGTGGGATTTTTTCCCGATAAAAGTTGATCCACTCAACTCAACTTAGAGACTTTAAACTAACAATATTTCCCTGTCTTTCCCAAGTTCCCTCATCTAAATTTAAGGCAAATCGGTCCAGGGGTTCCTAAGTTATGATCGGCCAACCAAACAAACAAAGAGACAAACAGAGATTACAACTTTATAAATAAATATAGATGAATTATTCGCCATATGTGTATCTTTTTAATAAAATATCTCTAATCCTACCATATCTATCCTAACCTATAATATTTCTATTCTCCTACCCTACCTAACCTATAATATTTCTATTCTCCTATCCTACCTAATCTATAATATCTCTATTCACCTACCCTACCTAACCTGTAATATTTCTATTCTCCTACCCTACCTAACCTATAATATCTTTATTCTCCTACCCTTCCTAACCTATAATATCTCTATTCTCCTACCCTACCTAACCAATAATATCTCTATTCTCCTATTCCACCTAACCTATAATATTTCTATTCTCCTATCCTACCTAACCAATAATATCTCTATTCACCTACCCTACCTAACCTATAATATCTCTATTCTCCTACCCTACCTAACCTATAATATCTCTATTCTCCTACCCTACCTAACCTATAATATCTCTATTCTCCTACCCTACCTAACCTATAATATCTCTATTCTCCTACCCTACCTAACCTATAATATCTCTATTCTCCTACCTTACCTAACCTATAATTTCTCTATTCTCATTTCTTACCTAACCTATAATATCTCTATTCTCCTACCCTACCTAACCTATTAATCTCTATTCTCCTATCCTATCTAACCAATAATATCTCTATTCTCCTATTCCACCTAACCTATAATATCTCTATTCTCCTACCCTACCTAACCTATAATATCTCTATTCTCCTATCCTACCTAACCTATTATATCTCTATTCTCCTACCCTTCCTAACCTATAATATCTCTATTCTCCTACCTTACCTAACCAATAATATCTCTATTCTCCTACCCTACCTAACCTATAATATCTCTATTCTCCTACCTTACCTAACCAATAATATCTCTATTCTCCTACCCTACCTAACCTATAATATCTCTATTCTCCTACCCTACCTAACCTATAATATCTCTATTCTCCTACCTTACCTAACCTATAATATCTCTATTCTCCTATCCTACCTAACCTATTATATCTCTATTCTCCTACCCTACCTAACCTATAATATCTTAATCCTCCTACCCTACCTAACCTATTATTTCTCTATTCTCCTATCCCACCTAACCTATAATATCTTAATCCTCCTACCCAACCTAGCCTATAATATCTCTATTCTCCTACCCTACCTAACCTATAATATCTCTATTCTCCTATATCCTACATAACCTATAGTATCTCTATTCTCCTACCCTACCTAACCTATAATATCTTAATCCTCCCAATCTATGCTGGTTTCTGTCACACTAGTGATGTAACATCAAGTTGACAATAAAAATCTCCAGGGATAAATATTTTATGAAAATGAAAAAGAATTGAAAATATAAAAAATGACAGGGTTGTCAGCTCAGGGTTCAAATGAAAAATGTTTCACATTAAATTCTTTATTCTGGAATGTTTTGGGGTTGGAATTCAAGGGTTTAAATTGCCCTTTTCACACCATGTCTCACAGTGTCTCTATGTGTGGTCCCCCCCCCCCCTTCCCCTATATAACCAACTACCTTCTATCCATATTTCATATCCATACATGATGTAACCCTTTTTATCTCCTATCCATAATATCCTATTTTCCTCCTTCTGCTTTCTATCCATATCCAAATCTATCCTACTCCTTCTTCTCCCACCTATCCATATCCATTCCTAATCGTTCCCTTTTTATCTCCTATCCATATCTATCCTACTCCTCCTTCTACCCCAATCCATTTTCACACCTAATGTTTCCCCTTTTTTTCCTATCCCTAATATATCCTTTATACTCCCCCTTCTTACTCCTATCATTATGTAGTAAACGCCTACTCCATAACAATTTTTCGAACCAGTATCTATCCAGGTACTGT